GCGTGGCTTCGGCCGCGTGCCCCTCAGTGGCACATGCGATCCCATCCTTATCCACTGCATGTGCTTAAAAGTTTCCTGTCGGGAAAGACGTCGTCGTTATTGAGCTTACAACGAATATCGCGTTTGCTTTCATGTCCGTAAATTGAAAACTTCTTATGTTTTTATGACACGAGCTTTTACTTTTGCTGCCATTGCGCTGTCGTACATAAGCTTGGCGAGTAGTCGTCGTTTGATCTGCCGGCCACGAACGCGCACTTCGTATCATGCAAGCTGTTCTTAGTTCACTGCTAGTGTGATCTTTTTGACGCTGAATCTTGATGTTATGGACAAACTTTCCACAACAACATACCAAACAGCAAGCTAGACCTAATCGGCATTGGTTGCGCTTCGATTGGTAGCGGTCGCGTGAACTTAAGTTGCGGTTTGGTACCGAATCAACAAAACTCTTTGCAGTGGCCGCACTCGACAGGAAGAGATACATATCGTTAATGAAAATGAGGGTGGCACCTGTAGCGCTCAAATAGTGGTTCGGGATTCGATTTCGATGTGTTAAATCGAGTGTATGTGTGCCGATGAAATCGACTGGTTCGTGTCTTTCAGCGCATCAAATTCCGGACGTGATTCGACATAGTTTCTATGTAATGCGCATAATCGAGGTGGTCTAGTAGTCAGCGAATTTTCACGATGGTGCTTTCCTTTGTTAGACCCCCCACCCCCCCAACTTTTCGCGTTCATTTCATTGGCATTGCATGTCTTTGGACGTTAAATTCTTTTAACAATAAAAAAATATAAATGTTTGCAAGCATGCATCACACATTTCGTTTTTCGGACATGCGAAGCTGCATGTTCAACACGTTTTGTGCAAGTGCGGCCCTTGAAAAAGGTTTTTTTTTTTTTTTTTGTTATAGTGCGGTACTGCTTATAGTGCGGATATTCGCGACTTCGGCGACTTACGTATAAGTGGTCTATACTGTAATCAACAATGCTGTGCTCGGTGCCGATGGAGCGTCTGCTGTGCAAGTCGGCTCAACGACAAAATGTGCTCTTCCCAGGGGCTTATGACATATAGTCTAATCGGTAGTGTGTAAGTGGGGTGCCAATTCGTCAGCAAACGTCTGCTTCAGGAGCACTGCTGAACGCTCGTTTGGAGAGTCGCTCTGCACTAAATAAAGTAATTTTTGCTAATAACTGCACACGTGTCACCGAAATGTTGCATCTATTTCTGGACATCGCAATCTAATTTTTTATGCTTTGCGTCCACAAAAGAACACCTGAATGGTGGGAATGCGTTTGTTAAATTGTGTAGTTTCAGCAGAGATAAGTGCCAGAGGAGGTAGGTTTTCTGAGACTAGCTGAACGACGTCACATTATGTCCAGCAGTCTAATCAGTTGGAAAAAAAAGAACCTTTTTTTTATTCTTGAAGTCATGTTGGGGAAATGCACTTGAGACTGTGAGAGTCTCTAGCGTTGTGCGTCACAGCGTTTGTCTACCATATCTGCTGATAACCACTTAGGTGTATTTATATTGTTATTTCATGAAGTACAATTTTATTCAGCCAGTATTCTGTTTATTTTCTATGGAAATAATCACTGAACAAGTTTTTACAGAATGCTCAACAGCATGACACCTGTGGTGGCTCTTGGGCCCTCAGACGCAGAAACCCAAGACAAGGACAAAAAAAAAAAAAAAACATTTATAGACTTCACACACACAAAACAATCACAACACTGTGGCTATCTGTACAACACGCTGGCTCCATAACTCAGTCATACAGTCCTTATGTCTACGCGCATGCGAGTAACCCACGCGTCCTCACTACTGGGAAGTCTAATTGCACCGGGTGCCACTCACACTCCCGCTGAAGACGATGGCGTCGACAACGCAACCTCGCCACGGGAAGGTTGCCAGGTGCACGGGAGCTCACGAGCAGACCATCAGCTGCTCATACTGGGCCAGGCGGCCCCATGCTGCGGCCCACGCAACACCGAGGTCGCACCTTCAATTGGCGGTTGTGCCGGACCGGCGCTGACGTGGCACTGTGGCCACGATCTCGGTAACTGGTTGTGCCGGACCTGAGTCTGGACAGGATCAGCCGTTTGCCTTGGCCCGCACGCTCGTCCACCACCGGAACAGTATGTCAGGCCCCGTCCAGAACCGCCACTCGCCTCAGGAACACGGCACGCTCGTCCCAGTTGGGTTGGTGACACCGGCTCGTCCGTTCGGTCCCTTGAGGCCCTACGGCTAGCGCTCTTGCTAGCTGGCCGCGCTCTTCCTCTGCCCGTCGCTGTTCCGAAGCTGCCCCGCTTCCTCGTCTTCATTGTGTCAACACTTTTGTTCGCACTTTCAGTTTTGGTTTCTTACTACAACACCATTATTCTTGCATCATCAACTGAAATAGGGAGTGCTTCTAAGGTGATTGGCTCCATGAAGTTTGCAATGAATTTAAATATTTCTAGCTCTTCACAAGAGCCTCAAAATAATTTTTCATGTCCTTGAATGAAAATGCAACTTGCTTTTCCTCCAGGATTTGAAGTTAGCTGCTCCAGATTGCTCCAAAACGAGAAATTTTGTTGCTCCAAAGTGCTCCAATGTAGAAGATTTTTCTGCTTCAAAGTGTTCCAGATGAAAAGTTTTGCTGCTCCAAAGTGCTCCAAAATAAAAATTTTGGTGCTCCAAAAATTTCTCCAAATCGGAAGACCTCAGTGGCATCAGTGAGAAATCACACCTAAGGGAAAATTATGGGCCCTGCACAAAGCGAATGAGACGAGCAACGCCAATCATGGGCACAGTATGATGCGCCACAGTATTGCTTGACAAAGTTGATATGTCATTGGGCTGAGACTTCTCACACTTCGCGTTCACAGAAGGCATCAACATAGTTGTTGGTGCGGCTAAATAATAAAAAAATCGACTGACATCAGGCATGGCAGCATCGCGTGAATCTTGTGAAATGATCCGGTGGCGAAATTTTCTTTCCACTCCCAGTCAAGATTTATTTCGTGTTATCTGCAATCTGACCCAAAAATACTTCGAAGCAAAGGGAAAAGTATAAATGGGACGTATAGGAAAATGTTCAGAGCTGCGGGAAAATTTCTACTTAGCCGATTGTGCGAGTTCAAGTTAACAAGGTATTATTGTACCTGTTCCAACTTCTCTCATTGAAATTCTTAACGTGCTGCTGGCATTTCTTCAATAGTCCTTAAAACCTTTCTTGTCTTTCAAGAACAGAAGGGGATGTGGGAACTGAGGCTAGCCCGCCACCAATGCGTGGGTCTTGCCACCAATTCTGCCGTTCTCATGTCCCAACATGACTCTCCCCTCCTCCGCGGTCTGTTGCACTGGGGGAGCGGGAGTGACGACTTACCCCTCTCACCTGGTAGCGTATGTCGACTGTGGCACCGTGCGCCAAGTCTCTTAGGACATTTTGCGCGCGCGCGCCGGGAGTGAGAGAGAATCTCTCCGGGACGACGAAGGTGAGCATGCATTTCTTTTTCGTCCGTCGGCTCCTTTGGTTTGGGGCTCGTCGGACTTTGCCAATGGCACCTTGCGCCCCTGGTGAACGCTCACCTTTTCATCCCACATTTTGAACGCTAGGCCGAAGAGCGATGCGGTGTCTTTGCACATGATCGTACTACACCGACCCATATCTCTCGAAGCCAGGGCGCGCGTTAAAGAACCCCAGGTGGTCGAAATTTCCAGAGCCCTCCACTACGGCGTCTCTCATAATCATATGGTGGTTTTGGGACGTTAAACCCCACATATCAATCATCTCTTGGAAACCAACGCAAGCGAATTTTGCCCTCGCTCAAGCGACCGGGCCCTTTGGCCCGGTGTCACCAGGAATCACTTTTGCCCACTGAGACGTGCTCACGGCACCCTGTGTAGTACTTCTCGCCTGTAGTGTGGATAAGCCTATCTCGCCACCTTTTTTTGCTTTCTCGCCACCTTTTTGCAACGGGCTCTGTACTGCGTTTTTGGTGTTGCCACAGGCAATAAAGTGGTTGCAACTTGTTTTGAGAGCAGTACCGTGTTCTTGCCATGCTGCGCTCGGCACCATGGCTGTCCGAATGAGCATGTGCAAACGCGACAGTTAAGGTGTGCCCTGCGGCTCGCTAAGACCGAACCCACGCTAATGGCCGTACTCCTTTGGGATACGTGTACACTACAGGGTTTGATGGAAAAACTGCACGAGCTCATTGTGGGCTCTGTTTTGGTCTTGTGCACTCTAACTGTAAGGTGGGTTCGTTACATCAGAACACTTTTTTGGATCCATGTATGCTGTTAAGTGTAATCCTTTCTTTGTGCAAAAAATAGAGCAATATAAAATTTTGAGTGCAAATAAACGACGCAGGACGAATAAGGGAAACATACCCAAACTGTTTCTTGTACTCTAAATGTCCTGAGATCTCCGGACTTATAGAAAATAAGAGCTGTCCTCTAGAATAGAAACAGCAATAAGAAAGGTTGATCACGTGACATATTCTCAAGAAGCATATGCATAAACATGGGCCATAGGTTGACCAGCATTCTTGCGGTGTATGTATTGATTGTTTTTGTAGAACATGTCACTACACCTTTAGCTAAACAATAATGTGTGTGTTCACAAATGTGTCATCAGCAAGTGCTGCAAAGCTTTGGTCTACTACTCCAAAGTGAGATTCTAGCTTTTCTGAAAGCTGCTCCAAAGTGTCTATGACCAATCGCATCACTGTAGTAGACAGCTCGGATTCTTTCTCCCCCCCCCCCCTCCCCTTAATAGCCTCTTTATTTATAAGGTAGTCAAGTTCTAATCTTTGATACTGACTGTTTACTTATTATAATGTTAAAATCTGGGTTTATCAGATGTGCTGATCCAGCTAACAACCTCTCCATTATATTCAATAAAGCTAGCACTTTTGCCATTTCTTTACTTTTGACTTGAATCTCTGGCTACTTTGTTACTTTGCTGGTTGTTTTAACTTGACCTCTTTTTGTCTTTTTTGCTGTTTCTTCATTCCAGTGAAATTAACCTGACAATAGCAGCTCATGTCTCGGACCGTATACTTGATGAAGTGATTGAAAGCTTGCCACGGAGTCATCGTGACTTGGTAAGTCATATTTTGATTGTTGCGGGATGAAAACATGCCGGGTTGTTGTACTTGCTATCGACTAAAGATCTTTGTAGCGATGCTACTGTTCAGTTATTGTCAGATTTTTAAAATAACGAGCACTACAGGTACATAGTCCAAAAGTTGTCTTTAGTGGGCTTTCATCTAGCTGGAAAGTCGTAAGTGATCGGGCTTGTGAACAGTGAACCTAACAAAACAGGATAAAGATGGAACGCACACACAATAGGATGTTGAACATTCATGAGTGAGTTGATGCAAAGCAGGGATTTCGCTCACGAATGTTCAATGTGCCATAACTTTTGTTCATATAGGTTTAGAACAACCATTCATACAGTTATGACTGTGGATTATAGATTTTGATTTACTTAGTTACTCTCTAAGTTTAGGAAACCGATTCCCGAAAAGGCACAAGAAATAATATTTTAAAGACTACTCAATGTTCTAGAATGAAAAGGGGGAAATTTTTTTTAGGGGCTCATGTGTTAGACACTATAAAATGAACCCAGCTAACAGTTAGGTTAAGGAAAGCATAGCAGACACTAATTGTTGTCTAACGGTAGTATTGTAATTGTTATGTAAATTGAAATGAATTTACTTAGACAAGCAAATGCCCTTTTTGTCTCGGGGATTCATAACCCCAACATTTGAATTACCTGTCCAATGCTCTTATCAGTTGAGCTAAGACGTACAAAGATCATATGCTACGCGATTCCCCCTAGAAAAAAAAAAAGTGTTCCACACTCGCCGCTGTGGCTATGAGTGGCGCTGGCGAACACTCTGGCTCCCATGGATTAGACATGCTGATATGGCTGACGAAGTGAACTGGGAACCATCATCTGTCTTACCTCTAGAGTATTGAATGCGTATTTGAGATGTTGTGGGTTTGGATATAACCTACGAAAAGAGGGCTTTTTCATCCGCTTTCATTCAACCTACTAATAATAGTTATGCTAAAGTCAAAGCCAACAATTAGTCTCCTATACTTTTCTTGGCCTGCTGTTGTAGATTTGATGTATTGTACTAAAAAAATTGCTGCATTCATGAAATTGGCTCATAAATGCTTATAGACTTTGCAGTTTCATCAAAAGCCATCAAGAATTTTAAAAAAGCTTCAAAGTGACATGTCCTTAAGTTGATTATACAGTCAAGCCTGCTTATAACGAACCTGAGCCTGATGCGGCATCCCTTCACTGTATCCCGAAGCTCGTAGTAAATGAAACACAGCTTTTAAAAAAAGTTGCGAGTGAAAACACAAACTTTTTTTTTTGCCCCAAAAATTCGGTGATGCACTTGTTTCGAAGAGCATAAGCGATAAGGGTGGTCTTGAGTTCATTAAAAACGACAGGGTGCTCGTTCGCCGAGGCTCGTGGCATAAGCTGCATGAGGCACTGGCTCCAAGGTTTCGTCGTTCTCGCAATCTGATTCCTCCAAATCGTTCATGCCACGTACTTCATTCACAATGCCCCAATCCGTGCACGGTTCCACAGTGTCGGCATCATCATCAGCCGTAATTAAACCATCGCAACAGGTGTCTCACCTGGTCTCCCAGGTCGTAGTCGACGACGCGCTGCTACAAATCGCCGCTGCAGTGGTCTCGTTCGTAAGCTTCAGGCTCGGCATCGGGCCCGACGTTGACGAAGTAAACCTCGCGGAAACAGTTTTGCGCGCATGTAGCCCTCACCGGCGCCCACGAAATATTCACCATCTCCACAGCTGAATACTGGGACGCCCGAAGCGGCAAGTTGGCTGCCAAGTGGTCAACAGCTATGAGCAAGCGCTCCACAACGCGGCACCTAACGCGCGGATTATGCTCAAGCCAAGCGGTCACACTTTCGACGTTTTGTTGAGCGGCACGAAAAAGCGTGCTAGTCCTCCCGTCGGCCATCATGACCACACACGCACACCAAGAGCGAGCAAGACGCGCACACGCGACACACATGCCAGAACGCGTGGAACAGCTCTGGGCCCGTTTCCAGTCAGAAAACGATACGAATTCAAGCCAGCGTGGTGGGCGTCGCGGGAGCGGTGGAGATGGGCGAAGGGGTTGAGATCGAGAGAGGAGAGCAGACTTGCGAGAGAAGGGCAAGGAGTTGCGATTAAGAGAGGGGAGGATGCGGCAGGAGGGCGACCTTGAAAACCAAAACACACGGGAAAGAGGCAGGTTGGGTAGCTTGCTTGAAAGGTCCGCGAAACTCTCATGTAGAAAAACTTGGAAAGAGTGTCTGCGCGCGCAGAAGTCAAAGCATGGCCGCCTGGATCGGTGCACGCGCGCGGTATTTGAAGAATCGGCGGCCGTGGTCAAAAAATGGTCTTGTTGCGCCGGCGGGTTTGCGTGGCCTCACGAACTTCGATATTTCGCAATTCGTTCCATGCAAATTAACAGCCGTTTTCGCGCTTCAGCACGCGCGCGGAAAGAATGCTGAGTTGAGTGCCAAGTGAACAAGTCCTAAACACGAAACGAATCACAAATTATCAGAGTCGGAGGGGTAGCGTACGGGCGTGCACTAGACAAAGACTATCGGATACAGTTGGTGGCCGACGATGTTGGCAAATGGTCTGGTCACTCCAGGCCGGCGACGCCAACGACAGTACCAGTGATCAAAAACAGAGTAGATGGCCGACTGGTCTTCGAAAGATCGGTGGCAGTGTGAAAACACGGGCCTCGTCTGGCGATGCAAGGTGCTCAGAGTAGCGGGGGGAAGAAAGGACCGAAGGGTGCGTAACAAAAAGCAGTCTTGGCATGGAGGAAGGAAACAGCTTTCCTTCCTCCATGGGTTGGGGAGAGCAGCAACTAGAGGGTCGCAGAGGCAGGGTCGGCGTTTAACAATAAGAATGTATGGGCACCTCGCTGATGCCTGATCGCTGGTCGAAATCGGTTTCCCGGGAAGTCGGCAGACCGCTGACTCCATTTACTGTAACCGATCAGCGGGGCTCGGAGACGTTCGTTGTAAGTACGATTTTGTGCCATTGATGCAATGTATATTTTCACGGTCACGCTGATATTGTTCATTTTAAGCGAAAGTTTGTTTTAAGTGGGGCCGTTACATGTGGGCTTGACTGTAATGTGTAATTGTAGTTTGGTTGTTGTGTGTTCAGGACTTAGGATGCACTGTAAAGGTGATTGTCCTATAGGTTTAGAGACACCATCAGAACATATAGTGGTAACTGGTTGTAGGGTGAGCTGCTGGATTGATTTTACGTTCTTCCTCAAACACTCTACACTAGTGCTTTTGACATCAAGCCACTGTACTATATGAAAAATTATTTTTCTTTTATTATCCTGCACAGATGTGAACCAAACTTGTTTTGCAGCTTCTACATCAGTTGGAGAATTCAAAACAATATAATTTTTCAAGTGTACATTTGTGATGAAAGTCACTATTTTAGCAATTGACATTCCCATTCCAGCCAGTGTTGTCATTATAGTCTGTAATAATATCAATAATATATAGTACTGTCTAGTTTCCATTCACCTGTACACTTTGGTGTAGTACTATTATGACTAAGTAGAAGCAGGTGATAGTTGTTGAATGTTTAAGAATAAATTAATTTAGATGAGGCTCAACTGCATCTCCCAATGACTCGTGTCGACACTTTTAATAAACAGTTTTTACTTTAGCCAGTCCTAGCGATCACCTTTCCAGATATAGTACATTGTGTATTCATCAGTTCCAGTATGTAAAACTCATAGAAGTAACAAAGCCTGTCGTAAGTGCACTGTCAACAATGTTTGTTGTAAATTGTCTTTGACAATGATTAGCTTGTTAGAGGCAGCCGCTTTATTCAAGTATAGTATGGGTTGACTAACTAGTGCATTTGATGTGCTATATTCTGTCTAAAATTTTGTTGTATATGGATGTGTTCAACCCAGAGACGTGAAATTAAAGCGCACATTCAAAAGGAGCAGTCTCTGTGAATGTGGCAGCACTCGTCTTTCCCACCCAATTATGAATATGCAGTCTTGCTTGGGGTGCACAACACTTGGAACAAGGGAATGGTGCTAATGCAGCCTTTCTTGGCGTGCACAACACCTGGAACAAGGGGGTGGTGCTAATAGTGTTTGCTCTTTCCACCAAGTCTTGACCATTAATTCCTAGTGATAAAAAATCTTGCCAATTTTAAAGGATGTAGCATTTTCACATGTCTATGAGCCTAACTGGACTTCTTTCCAAAAAAATTACACGTAAAAAAAAATAGGCATATTCAAGTTTCTAAAAATATATATTCTCTAAAAGCAAATAAGAATATTGTGCTTATGTAATATTTTATATACAGCCTGACCCACTTCTATAATGATACCGGTTTTAACAATATATTGGTTATAATAATTCGAAGCGTCTGCACCGCCAACTTTTGTATCTTTCCCATGGTGGATTGACCAGCTTACAGCAATGCCCGCAAGCTGCGTTATTGGTTATAACAATTATATCTGGCTGTTGGGTTTTCATGAAAAAAGGTAATGAAACGTGAAATCCTCAATAAGAAAGAATAAAACATTAAATTCAAGCTGCTGAGTCCCACCCACAACTCAAAACATCCCCCCAGTGCCCCTTTTGAATTTATAGTATGTTTCACTTCATAGCGTTGTGGCATTGCATCAACGCTGACTCCTAAAATATGCTGTGGCATGGGGACGATGGTGGGTTTTGTTTATTGAGATGCAGGTTGTCTTTCTGGTTCGTATTCGCTTTTTGTGGCTGAGCCACTGAGCTTTTAGGAAGGGCAAAGCTGTTGGTTTCCAAAACAGAATAAAAAATTTATTTAGAAACTTAAACAAAAACATGAACACTCAAGTAAACACTTAATAAAAAGTTCACTGCTCATGGGAAACTTTGGCATTCACACACAAAATGCAAGTTTATAGACTTAAACTAAATTATCAAGTTCCAAACGCGGCTGAGGGGCAGAGTGGTGAAAAATGAGGCCAATCTCACCAGGATATCGAAGAGTTGGCTGATGTATGCATAACTAGAATGCGG